ATGCGCATGCGGGAGGGGAGGAGAGCACCCCACGGGATGCCGGTGTGTGGGAGAGCTCACCCTTGCGGTGCCACCCCACTCACCACGTCTGGTCGTTGCTCCGAGTCAGCATGGCGGGGGATGCTGGCACGGGGACGGGACACAGCACAGTGCTGCCTGCCCCACTGCCCATGGTGGGGACAGACCCGCCGGTGGCACCTGCGTCCCCGCAGATGGACGAGACCCACTCGGAGCAGCAGCATTTTATTGCCATGGGGGTTTCTGTGGGAGAGAGGGTGCTGCAGCTGCTCCCGTCTGGCATTTCCCAGCCCCTGGGCCACTGGGACCGGGGCACGTTGCTTCTCAGAGAGCATCACCCATCCCAACGCTTGTCCATCACGCGGGAAAAATGTCCCTGCCACCCACGGCGAGGGAGGGGGGCCCAGCACCCAAGGGTGCCCAGGCACTACGGGCAGGGATGTCCCCTGGTGATGGTTTTCCACCACAGAGCGTGCTGCCAAAAGGAGCCAGCTCCTGTCTTTCCCACCGAGACCTTGGCTTTGGTCCCATCGTAAAGCCCGGGCTCCTCTGGCCGTGATCTGGGTTCGTGCGGCCCCGCAGGGAAGTGGGACGTTGCCTTTGCCAGCCTGCGGCCCCACTCAGATGTCATCTTCCGTCACCAGGCAGTAGAAGTCCGTGCGGGCGCCGTAGTTGCGCAATCCCAGGTCCGAGATGTCGAGCTCGGGTCTCTGGCTGTCCTGCCGCTGTGTGTCCTCCGTCGCGCCGGCAGCTGAAGCCATGGGAGAGCCGAGGCCGCCGATGCGGGGAGGCGGGGAGCTTCTGAAAACGCACCCTCGGAGGCCTGGAAGGAGCGGGGAGATGGGTGTTAGGCTGTGGGGAAGGGGCTAAACCCAGCCCGCCTACCACGGGAGGGCAAAGCAAAACCCAAAGGTGACCTCTAGTGCACATCTGTCCCCCCCCAGGAGAAGAAGCTGTCCCCCAGGGGACAAGGACCTGTACCGAGGTCCCCATCTGGGTGGAGGTCTCCACCGCTGTCCAGGTAGCTGCTGTGCAGGATCAGCATGGGGTCCTTGTCCTCCTGCAGCTGGGTCTGCGGGTCCCCCATGGTCCCCTGGAAGGATACCTTGCGGGGCAGGGCCAGGCACAGCTCCTTCCAGAAGTCCGATGATGGGGTCTGTGTGGTGCAGGGAGGAGATGAGCTGTGTTGGGACCACCATGAAGCCAAGCCCGGCCCTGCACGGGGCTGGGGAAGGCTTTGTGGGGCTCGGCTCACTCTTCCCAGTGCTGGGAGCTCAGCCAAGGCGAGGCTGTGCTCCCAGCATGGCAGCGTGCCCGCATGCCAGTGGAGAAACCGGCCCAACCTGCTGAAATGCTCCCGAGAGCTCCAGGTCCCAGCCTGGCCCTGAAATGGCCACAGCAGCCACGGACCAAAGCTTCGCTCTGAAAGCTGAGGCTTCACACTGGCGCCTCGGCTTGGGGAGACCCCGGCGTGGCATGGGGCTCCTGATTGCACAAGTTTGGGGAGCAAGCACACAAATCTGGGGCTGTTGCTGTTGTTTTTTTTAAAATTGCCTCTAAAAGATGAGTGCCCAAACCTGCTTTTTAGGAGCACAGAAGCACAGGGAGCAGCCCTGGAGCATCACGGGGAGGCTGACACAAAACGGGGTGCTTGGGGATAGAAATGGGGGTGCTGGTGGGACGGGCTCCTGCTCGGTTCTCACCATGGAGCCAGCTCGCCACACCAGCAAGGTCACCGTGCTCCGGTGCTGCTTCAGCAGGCTGATGGCAGGGTGGGTGATCTCCCGGTACTGGCTCTCGAAGACAATGAAGATGGGTTTCTTGGAAAGCTCCAGCAGCCTCCAAAGCCCTTCCCTGTGAGACAGGCGCGTGGCAGGAGGGCAAAGGACCCACCGGCTCCTCTCCCTTGGGAGCAGGCAGGAGCCGCTCCTACCTGAAGCTGCTGTTGCACCACTCTTGCTCCAGGTACGCGACGGAGAGGACCACAATGAGGCGCCGGCATCGGCTCACGTTCATGATCAGGTCGGCCGACGGCTCTGCAGACAGAGGGATTTCAAGCCCCCAGGTGCTGGTGTCGCCCCTCTGCCCGACCCCATGTGGGTCCGGTGCCTACCTGAGTTGGGCAGGATGGTTTGCTCGTCCAGGAAGAGCTTGTAGCCGTAGCGGTTTTCCAGCTGCGGCTTCACGATGAAGTGGACAAACTTTCGGTCATCCGGGGCAGTGGCGTGGGAGACGTAGGCGTCATACAGCTTCCCGTCTGGGGAGAGCCATGGGGAAAGGGGGGTTGTAACACCGGGGAGGGCTCTGCTCATCGGCAAGCCCTTGGCCCGGGAAAGGCTTTTCCCAAGGGGGCACCACCTCTGTGCCCTTCTCCAGCAGCTCACCGTTGATCTCCAGCTCGCCGTAGCGGTTCCGGTACCAGAGGAGCACACTTAGGCGGCATCGGACATAGAGCCCAGCCAGAAGCACCAGGAGTGCCAGGACCAGGAGGGCTGCCAGCACCGCAGGCATGTGCCCTGCCGCCTCTGCAAGGACAGGGAAGGGCACGGTGAGCGTGGCTGGTGGCCCCTGGCCCAGGTTTTCTGGGTTTGGTGTAGGTTTGCACCGCGATACGCTGCCCTAAGAGAGGCAGCGCTGATCCCCATGGGGCTGCCATTCCTGCCCTATGCAAGTGGGTCCTCCTTGGAGGTGTCCCTTCTCTGTCCCTGGCATGTCCCTACCCACTCGCCGCAGGGTGAAGGTGGCCGTGGCGTTGCTGACCCAGCAGGCAAACACCCCAAAGTCGGCATCATGCGTGAGGTTGAGCTGCAGGATGCTGGTGAGGAGCCACTCTGAGGCATTTTGGGCAAACCTGGGGGAGATAAGGCCACCATGGGTACGACATGCGGCAACCCACCCCGACAGACAGACAGACGGATGGACATACCCCAGGGCAGGCTCCTTACCAGGCGGTGTCCTGGCTGCTCTCGCTGCCCAGCCACTGCCCATCTTTGGTCCAGACGGGGACGGGCTCGCAGCGCTCGGCGGCCACCCAGCGCACGGTGCAGTTCAGTGCTACCTGGCTCCCCAGCGCCAGCTCCAGTGTCTCGTTGGCAGCTGGGACGAGGATTTCGGGGGGCACGCTGCAACGGTCTGGGGACACAGCAGGAAGAGGGTTTCAGATAGGAAAGCTGATCCAGCTCCCGGCTGGGCCGGCAACTGTCATAGCCATCCCGGCTTCCCTGGAAAAACAAGCTCTGCCGCGGGGGTCTGGCAGAGAGCGGTGCTTGATGCTGTTTTGCAACAGGCTGAGCCGGTTTTCGGGGCTGGGACAGACCCTCGCCTGCCCTACAAGGCAAAGCCGGAGCAGCAAGCTGGACCCCCTGCCATGCCTGCGAGCAAGGGGTCCTTCCCAGATAAAAACAGGTGAAAGTTTCGATTTTGCAGCCTACCTGCCATGGTGTGCTCAGGCGATGTGCGGGGGAGCTGCCAGCACCACCAGCGGGCCACCCGTGACGGTGGGGCCCCTGTGGCACGGCGTCTTCCGGGAGGGCAAAGTCCACCTGCCACCGCCACAGGGCGGGCTGGGCCTGGAATAGATCCGAAACGGCTCCCTGAGTGCTGGCTGCTCCAGGACGGGCAGGCACAGGGAGCGTCCCAGCGGTCCCCATCGCTCCCCACAGCGATTTGGGTCTGGGGGGCGGCGGGTGTCACTCTGGGGTAAAGCCAAAGCCATGTCCCGGCCACGGCTTGGTGGCCAGTGTGTCGCCTGCCCTCCCCACGCAGCACCGACTCGCAGCCTGGCTTTCCTGACCGTGAGTTTACAGGCGGGAGGTGATTAATGACCAACTCGGGGCTGCAAGATGTTAAAAATGTGGCTTCGGCTCAAACCAGAGGCCAGTGAGGGGAAACGAGCCATGGTTGTAGCTCAACCGTGGGGTGTGCAACACTTCCCCATGAAACCACGGCGAGCTGCCCCCGCGGCTGCGTTTTGGGGGGGCTCTGCGGGACCACCTCCATGCTACCAACACCTCGTCTTGGCTGCAGTGCTGCTTCCAGTCTGATGTGCCCACTGAAATTGCTAATTAAACAGTGGGGCGGTTTATTTATAGAAACACGGGCTTCCTATCTCGTGAGCTCTCATAGCGTTAGGCTAAGCAAAGTGGGTGCAGCGCTCCCCTCGCGTTAGGAAGCTCGGCACGTTGCTATCCTGTGGCCGTGCCCGGGGAGAGGCATAGCCGCACGACGTGCCATGCACGCGGGGAGCGCGAGGATGGTGCGGGGGGACTGGCCCCCGGCTGGCATCGTGCAATCGGTGGCAGTGCCGCTGCAATAGCCCCGCGGGAAGAGGGGGCCCATGGAGGACACCCCACGTCCTGCCGATAAATCGCAGCGGTGCAAAGGGGCACTGGGAGCGAACGGCGAAGCAGAGCCCGGTGGCGGGGTCGGGCTCCCCCGTCCCCAAACACCTGCAGAGCCCCCGATGCGGGCGGTGTGTCCGCTGGGACCGATGTGGGAATAACAAGGACGTCACGTTGCTGGTGTTTCTGCACGGCAACGTGACCGTAAACACATCCAGCATAACTGCTGGGACCAGGAGGGATAAAAATCTCTCTCAGCTGCCTCTTTGCCCCAGAGCTTCATCGCGCTTGGTTGCACGCTGATTTTGGGTAACAGCAGGGCTGCTGAGGCTGGGCTTATCCCTGGAGAAACTGTGTCTCTCTGCTGCTGGTGTGAAACGGGAAGGGGGGAGGTCTGCAGCACTGCTCTGCCGTGAACAGCGATGGAGGCACATTGCTTCCCTTTGGCACAGCAGCCCTGGCGCCGGGCATGGGGTGAAACTGTGGGTCAAGGTACGTGGGGGACACTTATAACATGTTCAGCCTGAGCAGCTGGAAAGCGATTTATACCCAAAGTATTAACTGGGTTTGTCCGTGGCCAGGGACGGAAAGGCAAGAGATGGAGATGAGCCAGCCCACCCGGCTTTTGCACAGGGAAGGGGATGGGGGATGCTACACCAGGGTGGCGTGGGGCTTTCTCTGTCTGATGGGGATGCTCTGGCTCTGCTTGGTCCTGCCCAGATGGGTTGCTCGTAAATCATTTCACTCTGATGGTTGGAAATAAGGAAGCCCCAACAAGATGCAGACTGGCTGGAGAGCTCAGAGAGGCCCTAAACGCCTCCCCAGCCCCATGGAGAGGCGCAGCCAGCCAGGGCCCCTTTGCTCTGGGGCATGAAATGGCGACGGATGCCCAAAGGGCAGCTGGGTGTCAGGGCTGCTGCCTGCGAGGGAGGGAGGAGCACAGGTTAACGGGCAGCAGCACGCTCCCATTTCCTACGTCTTGGGGTTGGGGACACCCTGGTTTTGCAGCGCTCCAAGCACGGCAGAGGACCATGCAGACGCAGTTCGGTGGTAGGCGATGGTTGGGCTGCAGCATTCCCCCCGGAGCACGGCCACGGGGAAAGCAAGGTGGGCAGGGAGGCACCGTGGCGGGGGAGCTGCAGGTCTGCGTACGCCGGGGGAGCAAGCGGAGCCAGAGAGCCAGAGGAGAGCAGCAGGGCTTGCAGGGAGAGGGCAAAACCCTGCTGACCCTGGCCGAGACGGCATCGACGCAGAAAGGGAAGCGGAGGAGAGCTGCGTTTACCTTGGGAGCTTTCCCCGGTGCCCTGTCCACAGGCTTCCTGTCAGTCGCCTCCCTCGTGCGCCGCTCGAGCCGACTGGACCTGCCAGATCAGTGCTTGTTTTTTCTCCTTTTTTTTTTTTTAAACAATTTAATTATTTTCCCCCCTCCCCGGTTCAGCTCCTGCCCTTCGCCGGGCTCTCCCGCCGCCCCAATCGCCAGGCGCCAGGCCTGCAGGAGGGGTTGGTTGTCCCTCCTTCCCGCTGCTCCACCTCCGTCTCCACCTGAACCTGTGGGGGAAAAAAAAAATAAATAACTCTGGCTTTAGGGGAGGGGAAAAGAAAAACACAAAGAGGAAAAAAAGGAGGGGGAAGGCAACCCACCCAGCCTGCTGGCCCAGCACCCCCGGGGAGCCGGGCGCACGCAGGTTGCACAAGGCTCCCGGGGCTGAGGAGGAACCCCCCTGGCTCTCCATGGCTGGAAAAGCCCATGGCGACGTCGGAGCAAGATGAAACCCACACCCAGCACCTGCTGCCACCGGTAATACCGGCTCCCTGGGCCACGGTAGCAGCCGGGGGCTTGCACTGGAGTGTGCCCGGGGGGGTTGGGGGTGTCTGTTCAATGCAACACCATGGGGAGAGCCTGGGGCAGAGCCTGCGTTTTGGGGCCACGGTTTGCTGAGCACTGGCAAACTCGATACTCTCAGGCTTCATTAAGGTGAGTTACTGATGGAGGGAGGTGGGGGGAGGCCGGGCAGCCGGCAGCTGTGCCCGTGTGTGTCTTGGGGTCTCCCGTCCGTTTCCTTCTCCTCCGTGATTTTAAAAGCCGCTTTGCAAGTTGAAACCGGTACTGCGGGGTGGCTCCTCCGGCTGGCGCTGGCCGCGGGGAACCGGGCCCAGCCGTGGCCGCTCCCGACCAGCCAGTGATCACTTGTAATAATTACCGAGGAGGTGATTAGAGCCCTAGCACGCCCCAGGCACGGTCTGCATTCATAGCGGCGGCAACGCCTGGCGCTGCAACCAGCCTCGGCCAGCGTAAGAGAAACACCGACCTGACCCGCAACCGCAGAGTGGCAAAAACATTGGCCAGCACGTGCTTTGGGGCCAAAAAGTGAAGAAAAGAGGCTATTTTCCTCCTGCGAGGCCCCAGCTCAAGCAGGATTAGAGGCTCGGGGATGGTGTCGGGGCCCTGGCACCTTTGCCAGGCTCGTCAGCGGCGGCTTTCACACCTCCCCACTGAGGCTGGGGTGGGTGAACAGGCCAGGAAGGGCTCCTTCAGCCTTCCACAGTCCCCGACTTGGGAAAAAAATGGTTCTAACTCCCCCTTTGCAAA